GGAAATGTGAAAAGTGAAAACTCTTTGTATGGATATATGTATATGCAAAGAGGAAATGTATGTACGAACGTCATACATAAAAATTTTCACTTTTCACGTTTCCGCTTTAGCGAAAAAGTTACATGATTGCTACTCTGCATACGGGCAGTATAGTATACGTAACGTAAACTGTAGATTTTCAGCGCTGGCACTGCCAGCCTAGCAGTAAATTTAAAACACAGCCATACATGTGTATACACATGGCATACTGATTATTGTTGTGTCAATCAGCCGCTGCAATAAATGAATACATCAGAATATATACATTTTTATTTCGGTCGACCCTGAGTGCGGAGAGTATTTTTGCAATATCAATAGTGATAGCCAGCAGTTACATATTTTATGTTCTTTTGACACTTAGCGTTTAGATTACAAATATGGTAATTTTGATTTAATGTATGAGTTAGAATTTTGCGTGTCAGGTAACTGATATCATAATGTCATTATTTCTTTTAGATACAACGCCTTGCAGAAAAATTATATTCTTCAAGCGTTAGTGCTACAGTCTCACGTGCTACTGTTAAATGGTTGAGAACATCAGGATCTGTTACAGGTGATAATACATTTTTTATGTCTTTGATGCAATTACTGATGATTGTATTCTTTTTTCACGCAAACATTTCTGTAAAATATTAAATATTTTCTATCTATAATACACACTGATATTTTTCTTCTTAGCGTATCAATTTGAAATGTATCATAAAAGAATCCTTTTAGATTTTAGATATTTATGTGTCTTCGAACAAGCGACACAGTGCGATACAGTGATCATGTCATTTTTGTTTAATTAACATTGGCAAACAACAAGGATGTAATGATCCATTGTGTCACACCATGTCATTTGTGTCGCTTGTTGGAAAGCACACTATATCATTATTGAGATATATTTTAATATTTATATCATCATTCTTTTTCTAAATTGTAAATAAATTCCTAATCCTGCAATTTCAGTATCTAAAGACATTAAAGAAACATCCAGTGCTCAAACAAACATGGATGAGGTTATTACAAAAGAAGTATGTTTGCATATTATTATGATTAAGATGTTTTATCTTTATCAAATACTATTAATTTATCAGAATTTAAGATTATATTTATTATGTATATAAAAGGTTGGGGATAATGGCATAATAGTTTTAAATCGACCTAAAGCGTTGAATTCTATAAATTTATCCATGGTTCAAAAAATATATTCTATCCTCAAACAATGGGAGTCTTCAAAGAAGCTGGTTATAATAGAAGCTATAGGTGAGAAAGCGTTTTGTGCGGGTGGTGACATCAAAGCACTTGTCTTGCCATTGAATGAACCAGCAGGAAATCTACAGGGCGAAGAATTTTTCAGGACAGAGTATACGTAAATGTCTGTTCAAGAGTAAATGCATCTTTTATCTACTTATATGAGCAAAATGATTTTTTCTTTTATTTCTAGTTTAAATCATTTGATTGGAACATATAAGAAGCCTTATATTGCTATCATCAATGGGATAACAATGGGAGGTGGTGTTGGATTATCTATACACGGCAAATATAGAATTGCTACGGAAAAAACTCTCTTTGCTATGCCAGAAACGGCAATAGGATTGTTTCCTGATGTTGGTGCGACTTACTTTTTATCCAGATTGAAAGGCAGACTGGGTTTATATTTAGGTCTAACAGGGCAAAGATTGAAAGGTATAATTTCAATTCTATTGAGAATTCTATATACATAAAGATTTTTATAAGTAAATGTTTTATGAAGGTTTTGATGTTTTCCTTGCTGGTATTGCGACGCATTTTGTACCATCGGAGAAACTCGCAGATTTAAAACGCGATTTATTTGCATTGCGTGAAGTCGACATTGAGCCCATTTTGAATAAGTATCAACAAAAATTAAATCATGAATTCAGCTTGGCACCTCATATGTCTCAGATAGAAAATTGTTTTTCTGCTCCAACTGTTGAAGAGATAATTGAAAGGTAAGCTAAAGATATTAAAAAGTTAAATTAATATTTTTTCACTTGTAATACAGCAAAAGATATTTTGTTTTTTATATAAAGACTGAAGAAAGATAATTCGGACTGGGCACAAAAAAATATAGAAATATTGTTCAAAATGTCTCCGTCTTCTCTCAAAATCACCAAGAAAGCAATTGATGAAGGAAAAGAAAAATCTTTAGCAGATTGTTTAAAGACTGAATATAGATTGGCCTGTACTGCTTTAACTAGAGATGGTGATTTCTATGAAGGTAATAAGATAAAATTTTAGGTGCATCTTGCAGATTGTATTTTTGGATCAATATTTTATTTCTAGGTGTCAGAGCTCTTCTAGTCGATAAAGATCAGAAACCAATATGGAAGCCAATATCCTTGACCGCTGTAACGGATGAATATGTAAATAAACGTTTCCGCGCGGTACTTCCTGCAGAGAAGGAATTGCAGTTGTATACCAGCAAATTATAAAAATTAGGAGATATCTTTTTATATGTACTGTAGATATATTATGTAGCACGGCAGTACCTTACGCCATGACGCTTCGTTTGTCGTAGCGCCGAGATACTACCGTGTATCCAGATATACATATTGTTATGGAAACAAGTTGCGAACTACTTTGTTTTTATATCCTGGTTTTATATAAATTGAGATCTATATTGATATTGTTAACTTTTTTCTTTACTGGGCTGGATTCCACAAATGTAAAATTAACTTTATCTCTGTTCAATTTATTTTTTATTTTTTTCTAATTCTAAAAATTATAAAAAAATAAAAAGTAAGTTTAATCGAGATTAAAATTAATTTCAAATTGTTAATCTCATATTTTTTTTTATTTTTGTGTTAAAGAATTTAATTTAAATGATTTGCTGAACTACAAATAGTGTACAAAAAAAGAGAAGTGCGGCTTGTTTCGGCGGAGTTCAAGGGACTCGTTTTCTCTAGCTGCATAAAAAACAACATATTGATAGAAGAATTTACGGATTCTTCGGAATTATAAGAAAGAATTTGCTCTCATGTAAAAAGAATCGACTAATTAAAGGATTTGAATACGCATCTTGTCAAACCGCCCAGATTGTTCCTGTCGTTCTTTAAATCTATTAACCAGAAAGAAAGGAAACTCCTGCTTTCTTGCGAAAAGGTTACCATAAAGTCTATTTATCTTTCTCCTTCTTGTAAGGTCTCATTTTATTAGCTTGTGTTCGAGCCTACAAGACATTTCTAAGAAAGTCAAAAGTCTATCTCTTTCTCTCTTTTACACGACATTTCTAATAAAGTTAAAAGTCTCTCTCTCTCTCTCTCTCTCTCTCTCGTAAGGTCTCATTTCAAAAGTATGTGTTCGAGCCTACAAGATAATTACAGAATTGAAAGAATAATTTTTACCAAACGACTCATATTAAAAATTGATTAATCCTCGGCTCTTCAGTTGCTGCCATTTATGTATTGACATGAAAATCACAAATAAATAGTTATTAACGTTATATT